CAATATTACAGTAAATAAAAATTGAGCAAATTCAAAAATATTTAATTTATGACGTAGATATTATATTTTTTATATACTTTCAATTAATTGTATTTTTTTTTAATAAACCAACAATTGCAACTTAACAAAATTCAAACTCTAATTTGGCAGAGTTTGAATTTTATCCAATTTCATGGAAACACGAAAGACAAAAGTCACATAACCCCGCCACTAAGGTGAACTTTAAAAATTTCCGATTAACGGAGTTACTTATGATACACTAATCTCTATCAATAATTGAAAAAGTAACGGGCCCTATGAAATACCCCTGCGTTAGCAGGGGTATTTCATGAGGCCTGTTACTTTTTTCAATTATTGACAGAGATTAGCATATTATAAGTAGGAGAATTTATATAATTCTTGTAGTATTTATATAAAGATTATTATAATGCTAAATTGATGAATTGTTAGCTATAGTGAGATACCACTATGTAATATAAATTATATTACATAGTGGTACAGTATCCTATTTAAAATAGATTATATTATTACTATATAATCTAGATATCACTATACAATCCAAATATCACTAGATATCTCTATATAGTCTATATAACACTTTATAATCTGAGCACCACTATATAATCTAAATAATATAATCTAATTACTACTATAAAATCTAAATAATATAATCTAATTATCACTATATAATCTATATACTTCTTTTATTGGATATCTATTTTATGTTCTAACTATTTCTTTGAACCTTTCCTGATATTTTTTACCTGATTATAGTTTATTTTTAGAGTAATATCTTTTATCTAATAGCAATTATGAAAATGAATTTTACTACATTTATTTTTTCACATCTCTATAATAGAGAACAAAAATAAAGAAGACTTTGAGAAATGATTAATATATAACCAGCTTAAGAGTGAAAGAACTTTGTAATGAAAATTGTTTTTGGTATATAGCATTACAAAAATTTGCATATACTGTAGTTATTCCGAAATATTTTAAAGAGATAGGACTTATTAAAACCTTAGCGATAAGAGTAGTTAATTATATCAATATATATTGTTAAATGCAATATGCATTTCACATACTGTATACATGTATAAAAGATCTCTAAAAGCTCAATACAAGTATTTTTTAACATTATATATAATTATTGCATAAAACTTTATCTTTTTACGAAATTAATAAAATTATGATATTATTTGTATAGTACAAGTAATATTTACGATTCAACTTATTTTTTATCATTTTTGCCAGATCGAATTAGAAAATTATCAAGATCACTATCTTCATTTGCATCTTTAATACCGATTTTGTGTTTATCTTTATTTGGTATAAATGGATATGCTGAAAGACTTCCGGAAAGTTTTGATGATTTAAACAAAATATCATTATGTTCATCTCTTAACTGAAATATCATATTAGAAGTTTCCAATAATCTACACTGTGTATTAAAAGACTGATAAAGTAATAACAGAATAATTATAAGCATATACTATACAACATACTATATCTTGAGATTCCAAAGGAGAACAATGAAATCAAAAATATGTTTATAATGTTCTTTATAACAAATTGGTACAATTGATTTATATGATCATTCATACTGCAGAACACTGCGGAACAGGTTATACATTTGCCACAATTCAATATAATCCTCTATAAAATGCAGGAAGTTAAATAAAAATTATTGAAAAATAAGAAAAAAATTTTTAAAAATACTTTCTATAGATATGTAATAAAAAAACTCTTAATTTCAAAAAAGTTTCAGGAGAACCATCTCGAAACTGCTCACTAATTTCTTCCAACATATAAGAGTTACCAATCGGTAGTTTACAACACCCATTCCAAGTAGAATGAGGAATATCTTTATACTTATATCTCCCACTCATTTTTAAGTAACCTACTTTTATTAATGATTTTTTTAATTTTACAGTAAAAATGGTATCAGATTTTTGCTCATAAAAGCTAGTACATTTTTGTCAACTTCTGCAAGATTTAACTGATGATAAAATAACTTCTCTCCTTAAATAAAACTATGTTAGTATAGCATAGTAAGCTTTATTATAATTGGTTGATTTTGAAAATCATTTCATCATATTAAAGTCTTATTAAAGTAATGATTTGCTGTCACAAGAATGAATCTAGTGCTACAAATATGTAACTAGTGAAGATAAGACAAAAAAAATTCGAAAGGTCAAGCTTTACTTTATATACTGCCAAAGTAATTCAGTAAATTACAAGGTAATTCAGAAGTTAGATGAAAAACATAATTTTGAGTTTTAAAATAGAGGTTACTTTAATGAGAATATTAAAAGATCTATAGCAATAAGAAGTTTAAATCTGATAATGAATTAATCTAAATAACATATATTATAGATGTTTAGCTTGATAATAAACAAAAATTTAGATTATTATATCAATAAATATTAAGCAAAGCTTTATTCTTAATATGCTAGCCTAAGATCTTACAAAAAAAAGAAGTAACAGAAGATATTAATGATGTGATTTTACAAAAAAGAGAAGCAACGAAAGGTATTAAAGGTTTAAATCTTGTATATTGTAGATAAAGAATAGATAGAGTAAATGATAAATATAGGAGGAGTGTGATAAATATAGTGGGTAATAAATGTATAAAAGGTGCAATGAAGAAACATTTAATATATAAAATCTTTTTTTGTGATTAATCAATAAATAAATAAATAATTTTTTTTTATTTAATTGTTAACTAGTATTCAAATTGTTTATACATTACAAAATTTTTTATTTAATTGTTAACTAGTATTTAAATTATTTATACATTATAAAAATTAATAAATAAAATAAAAAAAATTATTTTTTTTAAAAAAAATACAATAATTTTGAACATTAATCAAAGTAATAAAACCTATTCCAAATTACATATTCGATAAAGTATTTATAGCTTTCTCAACATGTAAATCTACATTGCTAGAATTTACATTTATATCTAAAAAAAACTTTCATTCTCAGTATCATTACTAACCTCAGTAATCTCCTCTTTATTTAATTTCTTGGGTTTTGCCTTTCTGTCTGATGATTCCAGTGTTTTTTAAAAAGCTCTACAATTCTTCTTGATTCTACTTATGAAGTAATCAATACAATATTGATATTGGCTTCCTAATTTAAATAAAAAACATTCGAAGTGGTAAGCATGTTTACAAATTAAAATACAATCTACTTCACAAGAATCTATACAGTCCTCTAAGTCACAAAATCAATCATTATATAGAATATGTATTGTATTAGGACCCCAGACATCTTCAATATAGGTCATAACTGATCTGCATGAATTTTGGGGTTTTTGCTACCCCTAAAATCAAA